AGAGTTATAGAATGCTTTGTATTGGAAGGGACCTTAAAGATCATCCAGTTCCAATCCCCCTGTCTTAAGCAGGGACACATTCCACTAGTCCTTGCTCCAAAGTGCTTGCTCCATAGTCCTTGTCAACCTGGCCTTGAACACTTCCAGGGATGGGGTATGCACAGCTTCTCTGTGCAGTGCCTCATCACCCTCACAGTAAAGGACATTTTCTGTGTATCTAACCTAAATATTTTCTCTTTTGCTTTGAACCTATTGCCCTTGTACTATCACTACAGCTCTGGATAAGTCGCTCTCCAGCTTCCCTGTACGGCCACTCCACATACTTGAAGGTTATTCTGAAGTCTCAGCACAGTCTCTGCCAGGCCAAACAGCTCAAATTTTCCTGGCCTGTCTTTAGAGGGGAGATCATCCCATCCCCTTAGCAGCTTCATGGCTTCCTCTGGGCTTGCTTCAACAGTTCAATGTCCTTCTTGTGTTGGGGGCACCAGAACTGCACACAGTGCTCCAGGTGGAATCCCATGAGAGCAGAGCAGAGGAGAAAAATCACCCCCAAGTTCTTTCACAAGCTTTTATTTTGTAGGTAAATATTTCTTAGACAATATGACTATGCTTTTTTGTGGTTTTTTTTAAAGCACTAATCCTCATCAAAAAGTAAATATTTTTCTGTTCCTTTTTAGTGCTTTCCACAAGGTTTTACATTCTTGATTGCACCAGTTAGCTGCCTGACAAGAATCATTACCATTTACAGTAATTTAATACTAAAAATTACTTTAACAATGCATGTTATCTGCTACATAATAAAATAATTTAAAAAAATTAGAAAACAGTGGTATGCCTTATACATTCTAAATGGCTCAGCAGAATATTTAGGTTCATGTGAATGGCAGAACAGAAATTATTACCCCAGAAAAAATTCAGAACTCCCATGTTGTGCTTTCAGATCATGGGGAGCACATCTACAGTCCTGAAGCAGGTAATATGTGAAATCTGCTGGGAAGTGTTTTGAACAGATCAGATAAGAATGTCATGACTGGAAAGTAGCAAATGTGGGCCTGGCCTTGTCCTTGAGGCATTTAACTGAGGGCTTGCAGGCTGAGACTCCTCTTCTGTACTCAGATGTCTCCAGAGGTCAAACCTCATCATGAACAGCTCCCTGCTATCTTCATCTCTCTCTCTCCAAGTCTTTGAAGTTAGGTCAGCTGAATGTGGACTGTAATTGCTTATCTTTGAAAAGAAGAAAAGTGACCTGGCCAAGCACAGACCCTAAAACCTGGTCTCAGTCTCATTGCAAAGCTTTGGAAAAACTCAAATTTGCTGTATGAATTCCCAAAAACATTTGATATGGTATTACCTGGGAAGGAATGAGCATATTGGGGTTAGGAGAGAAACTGAAAAAATGAGATAGCCACAAATAAGGTTGAAAAGAAAGGTGTCAGGCTTAAAAGGTTTGTTTCAGGATGGCCTTATTTGATATTTTTTGTAGTAGTCCTGATAAAATCAGTAAGAAAACGCTCATGAAATTTGGAAATGAGATATACTTAGGAGTCACCATAAGTACAGAAATGTGCTACTTATGTTTGGGATAGAGTTAATTTTTTTCCCAGTGACTTGAATGGGGCTGTGGTTTGGATTTGTGCTAAGAAGAGTGTTGATAATGCAGGGAATTTTATTGCTGAGCAGGGCTTGCATGGAGCCAAGGCCTTTTCTGCTCCTCACCCCACTCCACCAGTGAGCGGGCTGTGAGTTCCAGCCAGTGCCAGCCAGCCCCAGCTGACCAAAGCATATCCCATACCATGTGGCATCATGATCAGTAAAAAGGGCCAGGAAAGAAGAAGGAAGGGAGGAGAACAGTTCAAAGTCAATGTGTTTGTCTTCCCAAGTCACTGTTAGGTGTCACAGGGCCCTGCTTTTCTGCAGAACACCAGCCTGCCCATGGGAATTTGTGAATGATTCCTTGTTTTGCTTTGTTTGCTGCACGGCTTTTGCTTTCCCTATTAAAGTGTGTGTATCTCAACCCACTTTTACATTGCCAATTCTTTCCCCCATCCTGCTCATGAGGGAATGAGGGAGCAGCTGCATGGTGCTTAGTTGCTGGCTGGGATTAAACCAACACAAGTATCTCAGGAGATGGATTTCATTTAATGTAGGGAGGTATTGAGGTAATTGTGTAAGGCCCTGGTGAAATCTCATTTGGGGTACTATGAAAACCTAATCAATTGTTCTGTAGCTGAGCTAATGTTGAACTAAGAGAGAGCTAGAGGGAAGTTGGGTTCAGCATCAGAGACCTTGAGAGCCTTTCAAAAGAACAGATCTTAGAATGGCTCAGCTTGTTTACTGCAATAAAACAAAACCAGAAAGGAGCCACAAGTGCTATGTATAAATATATCAGGAAAATAAACATGAAGGATGAAAACCATTTAAATGAAGGGTAAAGACACAAGAACAAACAGATATGTACTATTCAGTAATAAATATATCAGGAAACCAGAATCATGTTTCTAGTCATTACTGCAATTGACTAATGAAACTGCTTTTTCATGGAATTAGTGGGAACAAAACTATTTCTATTTTTAATATGGCACTTGATAAATGTATGAGGTGATTGTACAACAGAGGGTTTTTTGTAGTGGCAGGGAACGAGTCCCTGTCATTCAGGAGGATCTTCCTGTTCTGTGTTACCATGCCAATTCATAGTACAAACAGCAGAACATTTTGTGCAGGTCTGTGATTAATAATATGGGAAGGACTTGTCAGTTTTTTCTGAATAGTAGGCAAGGTTCAGAAGTCCTTATGAATGCAACAGCTAGATTGTGTTACTGTGACTTCAGTAAAGTATATGATATCAGCATTCTATAGAAAATAATAGAAAGAAGGAAGTAAGCAAAAGAACTTTAAAGTGAGATAAAAAAAGCACAGGTAAGTTGTAGATAGTTCTTCAAGGATCAAGTGACAGGCCCAGAGCCCTCCTTGGATACCAGTACAAGGATGTATCAAATTACACCTTGGTTTTGTGCTGTGTTATGCTTTTGTGGTACACAGTGTTTGAATTTAGTCCTTACAGCTGTTAAGAGCAGCCTAGTCTGAAGCTGGTCTACTTTAGCAGAGCCTTAAATTCAGTGTGCTGCACTTCCTTACTGTGCAGCAGAAGGTGAATGTGTTAATGTGTTAATGTGGGGACTCGCCCAGAGGTGCCAGCAGTACTAACCAGTGTTAATTGATGTCATGTAATCAGTCCACAACTTGACCTCAAAAAACAGAAATAGAGGAAAGCAGGTCTCCTATATGTTATGAGTTAAAGGTGTTGAACTTATTGACATAACACTATATTTGTTTCAACAGAGAGCAAGTTTACGCCAACAAGCTCATGCCAGCAGGGAATTAAGCAAAATTTCATTTGAAATGTGGCATTGTGCATTTTCTGGATCCATCAATAACATTAAGTGGCTCATCACACATACATGATGCTAAGAATTACTGAAACAGAATCATTTAACACTCTGAAGTTTGAAGATATTTAGATGTTTCATTGTCTAAATACCTGACTTCAGAAATGTATCTGGTCTCCTGAAGAGACTCTCTTTGCCAGGGCAGGAACTGATTCCATCACCTTTCTCTCCTGCTTGCATTGGGTGTGTCATACTTGATTTTCAGTAACAGGGCAGGCTTCATTGTCAAGCCTGATGGCAGAACATCACTCTGTCATTTTTTACTTCAGAAGCTGCTAATCAGTGATGCAGAAGGTGACTCAATTCTTTATCCTCAGTGAATCAATCCTGTTTACGAACAAGTGTGCCTATGTCACAGATATATATATATATATATAATTCAGTCACAAAAGGCTGGGAGCATTTTAAAGCTTTCCAAACTGACTTTATATATAGTCAATGCATATTCTGAGTTTCATGATAAGTAATGCTTCAGTTCCTGCTCTTTCATTTTTACTGTGTACCACATATTTGTATATGATTGCTTGAAAATCACAAGGGTACCGCTGCTCAAATCACCGTTTTACCCCTCTGTTTCTTTTCTCTCATGGTATAAATTACTAAGTAGTGTACTGTAATCAATTCTAACAAGAAGCCATAAAATCTCTTCCCCCAACAATTTTAGAACTTCCACCACCAGCAGATTTTTGAAATTTGCTTTATGTGATGCAAGTCAGTCAGTCTCAGACTTTTTTTCAGTCTAGAAAAGAACTAACTTGGATGGAAATATGTAGAAAATAAGCAGAAATATTTTAGCAATACAGCTTTATTTAACATAGAGTTGAAATAATCAAAAAATGAAAGTTGATTTTTCTTTCCTTGCCTTTCTGAACGTGCACACAGCTGGTAAGTTTGCATAATGGCCTTTTTAATCGAGAGAAGTAACTTCACCAACATACCCAAGGTCCAAATATTGTAAAATATTGATGTATTAATTTTACAGTTTTATGGGAAAAGATAAAGAGATTTACCCAACAGCAAGGATACACTCTTCAGTACCATAAAGTCCCACTAGATGGAAGCACTTCAGCTGTCATAATAGAAGGAATAAATAGAAGTACAACAGTTTAACACACCTGCCATGGGAAGGTATCACAGCTGGAAGAATTTGGAGGGAAACATTTTATTTTGCCCAGATTAAACCTATAAACTAAAAAATTAAAAATCACATAAATAGATACTTTTACTATAAGCCATATGAGCCATCTAATAAAACTCAGTGTCAAGCAGCTGTGCTGGAGTCCTTGGGTTTATATGTATGCTGTATGCTGCAGCTTTGGAATTTTTTTGGAAGCCCTGCAGAATTAAGAACACAACACAATTTTTCTCTAAATCCCATTTACATTTAGTCATTATCTCAAAAAAACACCTTTCCCAAGTACATGGATGGGTTCTCTGCTTTAAGGATTTCCCCTTCAGCCCAAACTTTTATGTAGCTTTCAGATATGTCAGATGTTACAAAGGTGGTCACAGATTGATTTTTCTCGACTTTCCTTGATTTTTCTTGTTCTGAAATAGAAATTTAAGTGATTAATTTAATAAACATAATCAGTGACTGTCTTCATAATGCTTCCATCCTACAAACTTCATGTAACATTTCACAGGATTATTAGTTTCCATTTTGATCTCTGCTAACTTGAATTAATGGGTTCATCCTTGTTCCAGGTGGCATTCCCCCCCAGGTGATGATCCCTCACTGCATGACTGACAAAGTGGATAACATCAGAAAGGAAAATAAAAATAGGGAAGTCAGCCTTCAGAACCTTTTTCACATAGAGATGGGATTTTTTAAGATATTATCAATGAATCTTCATGTAGATTCCTAAGAGAATATTGTTGACGAGGTGACATTTTAAAAAGAAGTATTTTTATTTGAAAAGATTTTCCCAACAAAAATCTATTCCTCAGCATTTTGATTTCTATAGGTGTGTTGTGCAAGTACCTTGTTTTAAGACTAAAAATGGTGGATTTAACTAGAAAAAGGAAAAGAGGAGAGTGATAAAAATGAATCGGTAGGATGAAGAAATATGATGAAAGGCTGCATTCTGTGGCTGTTGGAATGGAAGGAAATCACTGTGTTTGCACCAGTAGCCTGTGCCACTACACCTAGATGAAGCAGGAATTAAATGAGAAGGGATTAAAGCAGTAAAGCAGCTGTGGAACTGCCCACCTCTTAACATGCCTTTAAATGCCTTTGAAATATTGGCAGTTTCACTGAGACATTGACAACACTAATAAATTTGATAGTGCATAAACCAAACAAAAAGGGGAAATTTTCTTAACTTGAAAACTTACTGAATGCTGTTTTTTATTAGTGATACAAGGGAGCACGCTAAAAGGTAGGTTCTTTGTGAAGTCTTTCTAATGCTTTAATTTCTTTTTTATGAACACTGCCTTAGAATTTCAAGGAGTAATTACATCTAATAGAGCTTTAGCTCCTTTCAATGATCCAACAAGTTCAGAGATAAACTAACTATATTCCTGTCTTGCAGATATTTCCTTCCATTTAGTTAGGTAGGTTCAAACATGCCACACTTTTTGAAGCAAGATTTTGAAAGTGTTGACACAGCTTAGCTGGTAAGGCTTCCAGAAAATACAAAATTATTGTGAACATTACAATATGTAATGACATGAACGTTACAATATGTTCACAACACTCTGTCATTTCAGAGCAGATTTGCAGATTTGTATTTGTGCTTAAGCATTGTATATTTTGATTTTTGACAGAAATTACTAAATTTCTACTTGAAAAAAACTGACTGTTCCTATCATGTTGAACTCCACCAAATCATGTTGTGAAACCTTAACAGACCCAATTTTACCACATATTTGTTCTTTTTCATTACTTTGAACACTGTCCCTGCATGTTCTGGTGGGCAAACAGGAATGTGCATGGAAAGCTAGGTTTATGATGGGAGTTTATTAAATGAGAGTGTTCCTGTTCCTGATTAGGATTTGCTATCCATGATGTTTCCCTCCCTCCGAGAGCCCTCTGCCCCTCCCCGAGGGCAGTGTCTGCAGGTAATGCCCCAGCCCAGGCTGACACTGGGCGCTGCTGCAGCGCTGCTGTGGGGGGAGTGTTCAGCTGCTGCTGCTGCTGCTGCCTTGCCAGTGTGCACTGTAACCTCGGCATCCTCGGAGCATCCAGCAGCTGCCAGGCACTTGCAGCCCTCCCATGAATGTCTCTCTTTATCTCCAAGTGGCTGACTTCTCTTTTTCAAGGCTACTGTTTTCCATCTCCTTGCTCAAATACTGTAAGTACAACTTCTGCTGTGGCTCTTTAGTTACTGCCTTTGTGAAATTTCTCTTGTACTGAACAGTGGGAGTTACTAGTTCAAAGTCTCTGAGGTTTGTTGTGGTCTCTGCTCCTGTTTGTGCTGTTCAAATGGGCCCTTAGCATTTCAGTTTTTAGTGGACTAAAACATGAAATTAGAACAACTGAAAATGTTGGTTGTTTCCTGGCTGCCGTTTTTCTACTTTGTAGGAAATTGTCAATGTGTCCTTCCTCTGAACGCTGGTGCCTAGTGAAGTGGAAATGAGAAAAGAAGCATTTCCATCCCTGCTTGTTTGCTGGAACCAGTTTTCTAAGAGCCCAAAGAAGAAAACTAATGCATGCTGATAAACTCTCAGGATGCTGAAATGTAGCTGCCTGGGCTTTTAGGAAGGAGCTAGGTTGGAGGGTATCTGTCCAGCTCCATTCCTTGGGTTCTGAAGCTGAAGTAAAGGAATACATGATTAGGGACCTCAGGTGGCTGCAGCAGTGTGATTACACATTCAAACTAAAAATCATCCCAAGACCCTGAGGCCACAGCAAAAAGGCCTATTTCAAGCTGTCCTGGTTCCTGACCCAATTTGGTGTGACTGTGAACTCCATGGTGTCACCCTAACTCTGTATTCTTACAGACATTCCACATAAATGTTGTATGATCTATGGATTATTCTCTCTCTAATTCCATCACTATTTTCTGTACAAAACCTCACATCATTTTCGTAATTGTATTTTACACTCCAAATTGGAAACTGTGAGAATAAGCATGGCACCAACTACTTAAAATGAAATTGATTCAGGATACCAAAATAAGGGGCACTGTCTGAAAGTTTTGATTCTTTTTCTTCAGACTTCTTCCTATGCTTGTCTTTTTTGTTTGATTTGTTTTCTCTTTATGTTTATTCTCCTGTTCCTCTGCACTTTATCGTGATAGAAAGGACTGACTTAAAAAAAAATAAATCAGGTGTTTCAGTGCTGTTCTGTCTAAACTTGATTCAAGGATATGGAATACACATCATAGGAAGACTGCATTTTTCCCAGGGGGAATCTCTGTATAGTAAAGAATACATACTCTGTAGACTTTGAAGTCCTTATTATGCCTCCTGTTTTATTGCTCTTTCCATCTCCAATTCTCCAGATACTTTCTCTGTTTTCCATATATACTAGAAATAATAATGCCAAATAATGCCAAAATCTTACTTAATTTTCTAATATAAGCCAAAAAGGAATTTTCCGTCCTCCATTCTTGGAAGCAACAGCTGCAGAAGGAGTTCATAGCATGCCTACACTCACCCAATACACTGTACAGTCTGATTTACCATTCCTTCATTACCATCTTTCTGAGTCAGACTTTCCATGAAAGACTGGCTGTTTACAATTGTTGTTTGTTTGCAGTAACTTAAAATAGCATACCACTAGGACTCTTTAAGCATCTGATATTAACCTGATTTTACTGACAATCCAAGCACAGGAGGTTAAGGGAAGAAATGCTGGCCTCAAGGAGCAGTTCTGACATTAGTTATGGTCACTTCAAACTTTTTGCTTTGGGTTTTCATATTCTAAATGGCATTAACAATTTCAAGGTGCAAAACTAGCTTCCAGCATTAGGGCTCATTGACTGGTATTTATTCCACGGTTTGGTAAAAAGGTATTTTTCTGAATAAAATGATCTCTTCTAAATGATCTCTTGGGGTACCCATGAGAGTTATGTGACAATGAACTATATAATGTCAGAATCACTGTGATTTTATTCACTTCTTTTTAGGTATCTTCTTCAAGTATGGAATTTGTATGGAAAAGATGGTGGTGTCTTCAGCTGGGCTGTATGTTATTAGTGAATTTGGTTTATGCCAATCTAGAGTATCAAAAAGAAACTCCTCCAAGCCTGCGTGAGATTGACCATCAGTGCTGGGAGGTATCGTCCCATGGGCTGGTGGAAATGAAGAAACTCAAGGTAGCAGATACAGTCATTGCTCTCTGGGACTTCATGATGTTCCTAAAGGAATCCCCTAAGCCCAAGCACAATGATCTCTTCAATGATTTAGCCCAGAACTTCTGGGACATGTATGTAGACTGTGTGCTCTCAAGATCCCATGGAATGGGCAGAAGACAATTAACATCTCCCAAATATTCTTCCACGTACTCACACAGAACTTTAGGAGGTAACTATAGTTAAAGGATATGGTACTAATATTGAACTGAACCAATGCTCCATCCTCACCCTTCATTGTTTAGACAGCTCAATATACTAATTTCCAGTTTTCTGTCTCTACTTGTCAAAAGTGTTTGCATCTTTCAACGGTAGCTACTTTCACAATAGAAGAGACACTGGTAGTTAAGAGTACCACATTTCTATATTTAACAAAGTGTAAAAAATACTGGGTATGTGCATGTGGAAGTGTGTGGAAATGGATGCTGCATTGTCTGTTTATCACAATGTGCATATAAATGACAATACATGGATAAATAATTACAATACTCAAAGTTTCCTGGTATTAGGAACTCAGTCTCAGCTTTGGGGATTCACTGTTCTGCAGAAGAGAAGTTCAAACCCCTGATGGTTTGAGCCCTATTTTTCCCAGTAAAACTACTGACACATAATGTGATGTCATGGTCACTGTGAATCATTAAACAGTGACAGGTTCTGGTCATCATGATCGGGTTAGAGTCTGAACTGAGATCATGTAGGTGACCTAGATCTGTTGACCTCATTCCTCCTCAGCAATAGGCTTTTTTCTGATGTACCCTGTCAGATGATTCAGGTTCTTGGAATGAACATGAAGAATATTTAATCATAGCATTTCTAATATATTGCTTGGACAATAACTACCTGTCTTTCATAATCTTGCAGGGTCTGCTTTCACCAATCCATTTTAGGCCAAAAGGAGAGAAAATGAAGATACTTAAACAAGGCAACATCAAAACGAAGGAGCACAAAATCACAATATGTATTGTAGATATTTGGAGAAATCCTTTGGCATGGTTCAACCCTTTTATTTTTCTTTTCTTTTTGTATAAAGTACTCAATCACTCCTAAACTGATAAGTACATGAACCCCCACACTGTCCCTTTTGCTTTCCTGTCTTGCAGTCTGCTAAGCTTGCCTTTTCCTCCCTCCATGTGTGAATATGTTCTGAGTCAAAAATTTGTTTTCCCACATAAACTTTAAAGTCTGTATGTGTCATATTTTTGTAGAGTCATGTACTTTCTAATAATTCTCTTTTTAAAAGTTAATTTTGATGGGAACCCAAAATATTTTTATACATTATGCAACTGAGAAAATGTGAACAAATTTATTTTATAAATTGTCTTGCACATACTATTAACCTTAAGAACTGAAAAAAAAAAGAAAAAAGAAGGAGGTGAGACATTAAGGTAAAGGGAAGGATTATGCTCATTGTAATGTCCTGTGCAGTCTAGACATTGTATTTTATCATTGCTTAGTCTAAGCTATGGATTAATTAAAGTATTTTTCTAAGCAACAAGGTCTGAATAGCAGTAGCTTTCTTCCCTATTAATATGTTATTTGATGCCACTACTATGTGACATGCTTTACACAAGACTGCAAATAAGGTGATGCAGCCCATCCCTGTCATTGCACCAAGTGGTTCAGAAGAGGGACGGGCTGTTTCAACTGCTGATCTCAGTGTAAACCATTCAGCATGGATAAAATAATTCAAGGAGGTTAACTGCCTCCTAAATCCAATTCTGAGCAGAAAAAATCCTGAGAAATGCTGACTGTTCTCTGCTTTACTCCTTGGGGATTGCAGCTTGTTCAGTCCCTGTTGTGTTTTAGACTTTTATGAGATTACAGGTGGTTTTAATTATTTTAGGAAATAGTACTCATGCTGTAAAAGCATATATAAGGAACAAGAAATCCATCCCACATAATGCCTAGCTCATATATAGTTTGTAAAATATCCAACAAGTCTCACAGATTTGTAAATGTTCATTTAGGTAAATACAATATTGAACTGCATCTTCTAAAATATATCTCCTACAGTATTCTGGAGAGGGTACAAAAGTAGTGAGAGATTTTTCTGACCCATGAACATCACTTTGTTCCTGATAGAAATAACATTTTTGAGCAGATGGAGTTATTACACACCCAAACACAGCAACTTCAGGAACTGATACATTATGATGAGCAGCAGGTTGAGAGGAATTATCTAACCTGCCCCAGCAGTATCCATTTGATAAAGCTGTGTACTGCATTGCATTTACAACAGAAGTTTTAACTAGCATAAACAATATTAAAAAATGCCCCTTGTTCACCTACACTGATCACCTATGGAAGTGTTAAAGTATAATAACATTTTAAAGGGATTGTTTCCTCTATTATTATTTCCTCTTTTAATTGAATGTCAGAGCAAAGTATCTTATGCAGTTTTAAAAGCTTCATCCTTCTTCAGGCACGTAGTCTGTTTTAGTTAGTTTTCTATAAGACATTAAAGTGCTTAGCATCCACCATAATTGTTTCCAGAATGTTTGAACAATCAATTGCTATGGTCACCCTGTGCTGTCTGCCAAAGGGGCAGGTGATTACCAACCCCAGGTTGCAGCAGCAGTGAAACAAATTCCAGGTGGACATGCTATGGTGTACATCTCTGAGAGCTGTGGGAAGCCACAGCTGACTGCTCCTGGCATGTCAGCATGAGGGATGGGATTATCTCTCCTTCCACCACTACCCCCTCTTTTTGCACCCCTGGGTTACAGCAGGGACAGCAAGCCCAGCTTGTTGGGTGTTGAATGTTTCCCCCTGCAACAGCCAAACTATGGTCCATGGCTGTCTGACAAAATCAAATGCTGTTTGTGCTGTGTGCTGCTTATGTCAGTACTGATTTATGAAGGACAAATGCAACTATTTGGGGAAATTCTGTCCCCTTCATTCTCCAGTCATTATTAATTAACATCAATGCTTAATTACCAAGAGCATTTGCATTTGCAGCTGCTCATTTACAGTCAGGCTGTCTGTAGCAGAAACAATACAGTTGTGGGAGAATGCCATGGGGCTCACTCTGTGACTTGCAAAAGCAAAACTGATTTCTGGTTCTTTATCCATACCTTGGCTACAGTGTATTGCTGTAGTTTTTGCTCAGAAATTGGGAGGGCTTACATGTCCTCTACATTTTTTTTAACGGGCCTTTGCCTTGCTGCCAGTAGTAATGAGTCACCTACACATTCACATATGTGCATGTAAAAAAGCAAGTAAAAACCCCTCCAAACGTCACAGTCTTTGGTCTCCTAGTAAAATATGTATCATTTGGTTTGAATTGTAAAAAGACAACAGACCACACATCCTCTAAACCAGTAATAAAGCAGCAAGGCTTTATTAGCCTTGTCAGAGAAATGTAAACATAAAAAACTGAGCAAAACTATTCGACACAGGACTTCAGTTAGAGAATCTTTATATACCTTGGCTAACTTTTCTTGTAGGCTGGTAAGAAATACAAATAGGCTAGTTTAATAAAACAAACTTTATACAGATAGTCTTGGAAAAATGTAATAATTAAATTAGATAATAGCTAAAATTATAGGTCAGCAAAGGGTCACCATACAAAGTTAAATTAAATTAGCACAACTCAATTTAATTTCTCTAAGTATTAGATGACTTTTCTACTCTACAATGTGATGACTTCCTTACTCAACAAGGGTGTAACAGACCTGCCCATAAAAAAAATCCTTCTGGTTTTTGGAAAATGCATTTATAGAGATTTTTCTAAACTTCAAATATAATTTTTCATATGTATGTTTTATTTTATGTAATTATTTTCTTAAGGTTCTTCTTTTTATAGAATTTAGGTAGTCAATTTTGAAACAAAAGTATTTGCCTTTATTTTTAATACCACTATTTCTATGTTTGTCTTGTTGTGTGAGAAACATTTTGAAGATACACTTATACACACACCCTATCCCATCCCTCTTTCGGGAAGTAAAAAAAAAGTGAGTTTGTTTGTTTGGAGTATGTTTAGCTCAAATTTATTTCCTTTTTTCTAAGCTGGCAGTTAAAAAAACAAAAGTTTGTGCTTTTCTCAAGATATTGGTGACAGGCAAAAAAGACAAACTAAGTGCCAGTTTGTATGTCACAGCATAAAAGCTTGCAATGTCACAGAAATTTATGCCATAGCACTGGACAGCAAATGGTTTTAGAATTAAGAGCCTTAGGGAGTCTTGTGCTATTGTATAACAGTGAATTCTGGCATTGACCAAATTTAAAAAGAAAATAGCTCAGAAATTGAGTCATCTACACAGAGATCTGCTGCTCACCAGTTGGTGTAGGCATTCTAGAGGTGCAAAGGTGGAAGAAAATGAATTCTTTCTGGAGACAACGGGGATAAAAGCCCAACAATTATTAGATTAGTAAGATCAGTTAAAGAGCTGTGAGCAACCCAAATGGAGAAGGACATTCCAGCAGGCCTCTCCAACAGGCTGGGAGAAACTGCTGGCACAAACAAGCTCGTTAGTGAGTGTTTAGAAGAAAACTTGGATGTCAGAAGTCCTGATGCTAAAAGTGGCAATTCAAGAAACAAAATGGGCTTGGACAAAAACATGTGGGTATGGTATTCTGGAAAATGAAGAATCAAATGTGTTTATGTGAAGATTTATCACCCTGTTCAATGAGATGCTTAAACTACAATGTATGGAATGTGTCAGGAAATTAAAATAGTGGACCTGTTGGCAGTGGATATTAGCACACAGTCACTAGACTAACATACCTTTGTACCATACTGTACAGGGGACTTTATTAATAAAACATCCCTGTATTATATAATTAAGAGAAAATATAATTTTACTCTTTTGATGTTCTAAACAATTTTTCAAGTCATTAAAAACAGATTTTATCTTGTATCTACACATAGGTGACTACATATTTATATACCACTCTTTGGAACAGCATCTATTCTACAGGTACTGACTTTTTCTTGACTAAGTCCAATGTTTTTATCTTTTTGATTGTTTCTGATGGCTCTACCAACAGTGGACTTGCTACGAGTAGGGTCTGTATCAGCCCGCAGCCCTTCCTGACAAGGCCCTTCCACAGTTACACAGCGACCAGGTGCAACCTGAAATACAAAATAAATACATTGCTTAACTCTCATGCTAGCATTTAAAATGAGAGGAGAGTTAAATCATGAACTGCCTTTTGAAAATTTTATTCAGTTGGTGAAGATGCCCTCAGGTTTCTGAGGGCCACTAAAACTATCCTTTACACTAAATTCACAGTTTGTTTCCATCAATACAAAAGAAAGGAGAGAGTGTTTTTTCAGCGGGTGCTGTTACATGCTTTGCTTTTCTGCCTTCGAGTCTGATTTATGAATTGCAAAAAAGAAAACCAAGCCTTTATCCAATAGAAGTTTGCTGTACAATGTTATTTGGATTCATATAGGATGTCAGCCACTCAGAATTCCACTATAAATTATTACTTATTACTCCAAATAAGGAAAAAAAAAAAAAAAAAGAACGGACCATTTTTCTCTCAAAATTTAATTGCATAGAACTACTGCTCCAGGAAATCTCCAAGACTGAAAGACACATATCCTTTCCAGACTCATTACTACTCTTTATATTGAATAGGTTGGGAGTCTTGGAATAAATATCCTTGAGTAACAGCTCTGTCTTCTAATCATGACCTACTGAAAAAAAAAAAATACAACTCCTTGCATGCATGTAGCTCACATTTTTGATTAGCTGACCATGACTGGTTTGCAATAACCATCTTAGCTTAATCTTCATCTCTTCCTGCTGAGAGTGTTAGGCAGATTGTTGCATTAAAAAATTTTCCAGCCATGTCTGTCATTTGTAATTCTTCTAAGCAAAGTACCTGTGGAATGTTATATGATGTTGTTGATACTTTTTTTTTCTCAATACACCTATTCTGCAAAATTGACTAATCTTCTCCTTGTTTTTATCTACTGTTATTGAAATATTGATTGTAGAACCATGAAGGTATTTTCTTTTTAAATGCTCTCCCTCTAAGATATGAATATTCAGAGCTTGAGGTTCAAGCCTTTAAAATAAAATCTGACAATATATTTCTCTCCACTAACAATTTCCCGATTACTCATGCTTATGTAAAAAAATTTCAGATAGTTTCTGCACAATATTGCTGTTTAACAGTCTCACTGTTGTTTATGTAAGTACCTAAATAATTGTTTCAGCCCACTTCATCTTGCATTCCCAGAT